CGGTCGAGTTTCTCGACACATATCGTTTTACAGTTTTCTCAAATACTTTGAAATAAAATAACAAGAGCACTACTTGGCTCAGCTTTTCCGGAATCATGTGCCCAGAAAATAATAAAGGACAAGGAATCAAGGATTCGGCGTTTTCTAAGATGTCCAAAATGCATTTCTATTATACTTCCTAGTTGGGAGGCTACTGAATGCGTGCAGGCCTTCTACGGTGACTTGCGGGGGCCAGCCGATTAACAACTACTTAGTGCTTTTATACTCGCAGATTACCCTGCTACCAATTCACCGTCCCCGAAAGGTAGAGGGCTCGGTCAGCCTAAGACGGGATCGAACCTTGGTCCACCTGTTCGTAACGGCGCCTCACACACTACGTTAGCAGCCCTGTATCCAAAAAATACCTTCGTAAATTTGAATTTGAAATTTGATATAATGTAGAGACATATTATAACCATATATCACACCGTTTTCAGCCTATCAAAAACACTTCAAACAACAAAATTTCAATGGTTCTTTGATCCAACATAAAAACTTCAAATTTAAATATCTATGGCCATCTTCGGACGCATGGTACTTGCAGCTTCTTTTATGCGCATCTGAAAGATTCATTTACTTGTTGATCGCAAAATTTCTCCAACCTATTGCTACGAATAAATTATTATTTCCCACAAGTTTGCACTAACAAAGGAGGGATACTTGGAAGTGGCGTTTCCATATGAAATATGCACTATCTTATAGAGCATGGCTTCAATACCTACCTTAGCCAAATCCTTGGATTTTCGCCTCGAAAATCCCATTAATTTTCTCCTAAAAGCGCTTTGCACGCCACGAAAACAGATTTGGAATTAGCATTCCAAGCTTGAAAGGATGGTGAACATTTCATCTGGAAACGCTACTTCGACAAATGCATTAACGATTTATTTACGTAATAAATACAGAGTTTCTTCAACTTCAACTTGAATCTGCCATATCCCATGATCGACCCTCCATTAATGTTGACACTTGCAAGGAATTCTTCTAACCGCTTTCCCAAAGTGGACTGAGCAGTTAAAAGAATTACCCCTGCCATTTTCTCAAATTTCTGTTGACATCTCCTTCATTTTCAAAGTGCAATTGCGTGAGTAACACAGCTTTAAAGTGGCTCTCTCTCCATCAGTCTTTGATCTTGCATTCCATGAATCCTGGTCGCTGAAATCCATTCGTCGCGCTTTACACTGTTCATCCTCAATGACGTACTTAAGAGCAATGAAAATGAGAGCTCTGCTCCAGTTCTTCATAGTTTTGTGAGGCCATGAAAAAATGAAAGTTACAGCGACTGACAGTGCCAAACAGCTGTGCTGGGTCGGCCCTTTGGAATGTTCCCATGCATATGGTTGCATTGAAAGGAATAAGAAGAATTTTTGATAAGGTCGGATCTTTCTAAAATCAGAGAAAAAATAACATTAATGTAGCTAGATTCTTTGCAGAAAGGCATAGCGATTCTGTAAAAGATCTATGTGTAAAAACTGATGAAACTATAATGTAAAACATGCCTGCCATTATCCCTAACACATTCTGAGAAAAATGAGCACACTGGGCCATTCCTCTTCTTCCAAAGATTGTAAGAAGAGTGTGAGCTGCTCCGCACAGGCCTAAATAGCTACCGTAACCGAGGGGAGGGCGTGGTCTACGGGGGCACAAATTTGACATCAAGGCAACAATTCAACTACGGTAGTCCATAATAAAAGGATATACACATCGGAAATTGTGCAAATGTTGGGAAAACTTGTTATCCGCATCCACTCTTGTAACATACTACTGAAACATTCCACTGCACAGGGCAACGTGTATTATAGATTTCCTGAGATTACTAGTGGAAAGCAGTACAGAGAGTGAAAGGTATCCAAAATCCATGTTTTCAAAGGATCATCAAGTTTATAAGACCTTGTCAAACAAAGAGTGACAAAGCAGTTCTTCCACATTACAAGGAAAACTTTCAAAAACCGCTTTTACAGTATACACTTAGAAGGAAAACACCTTCTCTCCCTATGATAGTTGCCTATGAATATTAGCACCATATGGGGCACCCAATTTCGAACCATGCTTAAACGTAAGGTCTCATTTTCATTATTTGTACGCACGAGACTCTCCATAAGAATAAACAAATCATAGATGTTAGTGATACAGCGGACCATAAACAGGAAACATGAACAAAGTCAAACAGCTCATCACATCAATCCGAGCCCAATCTCAATCAGATCAATGCAACGAATAGGGAAAGCTTGCATGGACAACGTAATGAGAGCAACTATAGAAGTTGATACGAAACTGTATTTCCATGGAGATGGGATCCATCGCCGTTCTCGCTGCCAAAACGAGCTTCAATATTATTATTTGAGCAAATCGGAAGTTCAGTAAAGGGTTTGATACAAAGTTGTGAACTTGATCTATTCTCTCTTCTCCTTCATCTTGGCTGTTCTTGGTTCTTCAATGGCGCGGCATCTGACATCAATGCTGGAGGTAAAACGTACTTAATCGTGCTCTCTCATCGCAAGGTTCCGGCTGCTCCTGTATCACCAGCGACCCTGGACTGAATTACTCTACTGAGATTGCTGTAATTCGAATATATATATCTCAAGAAACTCAGGAACTTATCTCCCCAACAATACTTTATTGAGATCTAAGCAACAAATCGATGAATTAATCATCATGAGAAAGAATCACATAAAAGGCGCCACGGTGAGGAAGTAGGATGGACATTAGGACCGAGGAGAAGGAGGAAGTAATAATAAGGGAACTAAGTTAAAACCATGAGGGCTCTTACATCACAGTCATAAACTATGAGGGCTCTTACATCACAGTCATAATCTCAAGTGTATGTTTATACACCACTTAATGGAATTTCCAACAATTATCAATCTTTTATATCGGTGTCTTATATGATAATAGGGTGGAAGTTATGGAGAACTTATGAATTATATAAGGACCAGACCGAAGTGCCGCTTCGCGGCACTTCGATCTGGCCGAGTGTGTGCGTAGAAGTGAGATGGCGTAGAAATTTGGCACATCGCCACTTCTTAAGGTTAGTCAAGAAGTGGGTGTCTGCAAACATCTGCTAATAGCAATAACGGAAAATAAGATAAGTGAAATTTCTATAGGTTTTACATGTTGAGGTGAATGAAATGTAACAGCAGAGCTGTGCTTAGGTCCCCAAATTTTGGCATATGGAAGATACACAGCTTTAGAACATCAGCTTGCTGGGTCTAAAATAGCCAAATCTGCTGAGATTGTGCAACCTGAATAGTTTGCCATAGTCATCTGGAAAACTTTTTGGAAGAAATTGAAAGCTCTTCTGTGACACTGTGCTGCAATCCCCATTCCTGTTTTCAATCTCTCCTCCCCCCCCCCCCTGCCCTGTAGGCTTATCAGCATAAGCATATTTTGCTTTCTTTCCGAAAAGTCCCCTTCAAAAGTTCTTCACATTTTCCCAATTCCTTATTTCTTCAAAATTGTGCCACACTATTCATATTCTTGAGTTCTTAAATTTTTAGATTAGAAAATTAAAAAAATCTGATTTAAAAATTTATGTATACCCAGCGGTAATCTCAACCTTCCAACGCACTTTCCGCTTTTCTATTACTTATTTTCCCCTCAAATGAATGTTTTTCGAAAAACCGTGCGCAAAGGTCCACGGCCCCTTTGAGATCAGGGAAAAATCTGACACTCATTCCTTTCATTAAAAAAGTCTGAATGTCCCCAATATGAATATGTAAATTTAGCAATATCAAAGTGTTTGCGCTACATTTTGCTAGTATTCATTTACCTTTCGACTACATCCCAAAAACCATTCTTGAGCTTCTCCTGTCAGGACGCTCAAAGCTTTGATCTCTGATTTGCATGGAAACGTGCGTATACCTTTGCCTTTGCTGGAGTCAAAATGCAGATCTCTCCAAGTTTGCCCACTCCCCCTGCCCCCTCCCCTCTTTCGTATCAGCTTCCTCTACTCTACCCCAAATCTCAATTTTGTGGTATTCAAACCACATTTTTCGTACTTCCAGCATTGGAGACTTTCATCTTGCTTTCCTTCAGCTCACAATGATTTATGTACCTCATCCAATATGCTTTCTATATTTTGACTGATGTTTTCTGAAACTCAACCTTGCTAGCGGAAGCTGGTATTGCTGCTCGGTAACTGATATAGTAATCTAATGCATAACGAAAACAGGACTAAATAACCTTCCCCCTTTCCAGCATTTGGCTTGTCTACCAAGTCACGTTAAGCTTCTCGATTAACATCATCTAAGACAGGCGCCACTATCACCATGAGCCACAGCTCGGTGCATCTGCACCGGCACATAACGACAAAGTTGTTGACATCCGAACTGCGACCACGAAGGGGGGGGGGGGAGGGGGTATCTTACATGCGTGAGTCATCTCTAGCGCTTTATAATAGAGAGATAGTTTCATACTTCCATCTCGACCGGTTCCATTATGCTGATAATTAATATCGTATTGCAGTGGCGATCCCAGGATTTCCCGCACTCCGAAAAAATTTTAGGGGTGCTTCTGAAAATTTTTGCGGGTCCCCAACCACTAAAATCTGGACAAACGGGGCGTGGGCGTCAGTCACGCCCCCGAAAATTTTCCTCTAAGGCTAATCTGAATTTTTAAAAAATTTAAAAAATTATTTCAATTGTTTACAAGAATAAACAAGTCACTTGCACATTTTTATAACCCATGTGAGTAAACTTCAAAAGGGGCGCCCCCCGCCCTCCCCCTTCGGTCCGCTCGTCGTGTTGAGTGCTTCCATAACTGTCACATCCTAATTTTATATTTCCTACACTATGGCGTTTCTGACCAATTGGTTCCTCAACGTTAAGTGCGCTTATTGTTGAAGCGATCAAAATAGCCAACCAGTCGAGGGCAGGGCAGAGAATGAACTGCCATATGCTATAAAGTTTTACAAATTGAGTCACCATAACCATCATAGCAAAGCATTGTTGTCAAACGATAATCATGAACTTTATTAGTATTCATTATAAGTATTCTGTACAATGATGAATTTTTTGCTAAAATCCGGAGTATCGTATGAACCTCCAAAACAAAGAAACATAAGGATGAGAGCAAACTATACCCGACGCAGGCTAAAACGAAGAAAGGTCTATAGGTACAAAAAGCTAACGAAGCCAACGAAATGACATGCAACACTGCGTCCTATTTTCAGTGGACCCTAACATAGTGTAGGCAAGGTGATCAAATAATCAATGAATTCTAATTCTTGGAAGAGCTGGCGTCATTTAGCGTGCTTTTCCGACGACCAGAAGACGAGCGCAAACGTCTCTTCAGTTGTTGTTCAGGGTGGGCGTTGTTGTCACCACCTCCCGTATTTTCGCTTCCGCTTGCTAGCCGAGGCTTCTTCACGGCAACAGCAGGAGCAGTTTTTGAATCCTTCTCATTCCTAAATTACTGCTGGATAAAATTTTTACTTTTTGCCCAAAGTACGACATAAACATCAAATCTGCAACCTCTCTGCCTACCCTGAAGCCCAATTTCGAACTTTATGTTCAGACAATCCACGTTGATGAGTGGAGTCAGAGTGGCCGTTCCTACCTTCTGGAGCCACTTCCTTGCTTAAGATTTCACCTTTTGCGGCGAGACTTAGGCGATTACTTATTATGGACCACGCTATCATATAACATCAAAATCTCAGCAACCTTAGTTTGGTTGAACGTGTTTTCAACTGGGAGCGATTCGTCAAGAATCTTTAGACCAATATAAGTTGATCCATTTTTGTTGATCCCGCCAAGCCTGTAAAAGGCAGCGTCCATGGACACATGGGAATTGCAAGTGAGAGCTAGTTTAGGGTCCTAATTAAAACACCAAGGTAGGCATCTAGTGCACTCGCAGCTGAGATTATCTCCAAACCAGATCCCGCTACCGTATTTAGAGAACAACTTGCATTGGCTTGCATGTTATCGCATGGGGACTCACCGCCTTAACTTTTATGACTTATATATAAAGCTGAATGTCTGTTTGTATGTATGTCTGTATGTATGTCTGCATGTCTGATGTACGTATGTTCCGAATAGAAAATTCCATTTCTGAACCGATCGGGACCAAACTTAGCACACATACACTTCGGGCCCCGGCCGGTGTCATATGCTACTTTTCGTCATCGATCGATATCGATTTTTTGCAAAATTTGAGCTACGGGGCTGGGAGTTGGCACAGGGGGGTAATCGAGCATGCTGATCACCCCCGTGGGGGTGGCTTGGAGCATTTTTGGAAACAAAGCTCCCATGACTTTGCGAAAATTCACGAAGTCCCTCTTGACGTAAAAATCAGTAGGAAAACCATTAATCAAAATAACAGTAAAAAAGCGCATTTTGAGGTTACTAATATAACAAAAAGCAAAAAGATAACCTTTCGACTTGATTGAAGGCTCTGCCATTACGTATGGTACCATTTCAGGGCTCAAAATGTCAAAAACCGCAAAGGCCAACCAAATCTGTGGCCTCAACAATCTGGCGATGCATATCTCATTCACGTAGTACAAAGGACACCGCATGTGATTGGAGCGCGACATCTATCAACGCGTAGATTTACACTATTTTGGCTCAGAAAAAAAGGGGAGAGGCAATGGTTTGATTCGCTCTCTTCACTACATGATAGATTTTTGACCGTTCTATCGTCCAAATTATAAAGGTCCAAAACTTATGTGAACCCCCAATATTTATGCTCCAAACCAACCTAGTTGGTTAGGTGTTGATCTAGAAACTAACAAATTCGGGTACGGACATTAGGACACATAAGTTTTTGGAACGTTTTACATAACATGGTTTGGAGTAATATTGTATACACTTAGCTCAAATTCGGAGCCATGTGATTGTTTGTTCGATGTAAACAACCATTTGTTTGTTTGAGTCTTGCGTTTGAAGTTCGCGCACTGGCGAAAAGGACATGTTCAACTCGTAAAACCTGACATGTTCGTCAAATTTTTTTCGGGGCTTCCCCCAGGACGGACAAAAACGACATCCCCGCTGCTTCGAACTTCAAAAACGAAGTCCAGTTTGACCCCAGACCATCTGTGCCGGGCCCTGATTATGACCCTCTCTCACTATATTCACCCCTGCACATATTTATGAGCATGGGAGTTACTTTTTTGGGGGATTTTATGTCTGAAACGCACACACCTGTCCAGTACTCTACTGACAGTCGACTTTGATACTGGTGCGCTCCTAGTTGAAGTTGCATCCATGCTTGCTTCAGTAGCGTCTGTTTGTGAGTCAACGTTATTCGCAGTGGGATTTGCGGTCTTGGTTGGGGATCCTAGAGCAGCGACCAACGCTGCAGCAACAGTCTTCGATCCTTGTATAACGTTCTAGATACATTATTTAGTGATTAGCGAACAAACTTCGCTTCGAAAACACTACCTTCAAAGGAAGCGCCTTGTTGCGTTGTGGAACAGTCACCCCATCAACCTCCCGTTTGACTTCCTTAGCGTTGTTCTTTTGAGCTTTTTTCGAATTTCTTCTTCGTCTCTGAAACCACCGAATCTGAAAATCAGGAAAGTAGGAAAAGCATGCACCCACCCCTGGCTCTTCAGCTGGAGCACTTTCAGAAGTGGAAGGCATGTTCAGCGATAAGCTGGTTTCATCTGGAGTGCCAGTCACCACCCGATTACCAGTAACATCACCTTGATCTTCAGATGACTCAACCTTCACTGTCAGCGGAACTGTCATGGGTTCTGAACTCAAATATTCAGAATGTCATCACAGTTCCACACTGCATAAATTACCAGAAGAGTTTCCTTCGTTAGCTAAAGTGCTTCTATTCAACTCTTGCATGTCATTTTGAACGTTTTGTTCTGTCTCATTTGGTGATGGAAGTTCCACTCCTTCATGTGCTTCCACGCCATGCAAAAACTCCTCATAACAAGCTGCTGAAGCCTCTGGCATATCGCGCAAGGAGGAACTAAAAATTATGACTGGAATAGAACTGCGAGCTTTCATCCCTCCTTAGTTTTTTGGATGAGCTTTGATGATTTTGATGATTTTTTAAATGTTTGGATGAGTCCAGGACTGTGCTCAAAATCGAGTCAATCAGTGCTTTTTAAGGCGTATTCAGGTCTTGGATTGTTGAAAAAGGACGCGAGAATCCGTCAACTGAAGAGCGACTGGCTGCCTGAGCCAACCATCCAGTTGCCACAGAATGTGGAGTGGCTCCACCTATGCAGTCTCCTAGCCAGTCGCTGTTTTTGGCGGGAATCTCTTGTCCAAAAACCTAAGCGCGGAAAACGCCACAGAAAAACTCTTTGACAACTTCGAGATAATTCAAGTACAGTCGAGTAGATTTTTCGCTTAGTAGAGTGTGCTTGTACTGAAGGTGAAATGCGGTAAAATTTTAGCGTGAACAAGTATAGGGGCCTGCAAGATCGCGAGAGTCGGACGTGCGTACAGCTATTGCGCCGCGCCGTCCGATGTCACTAAGGCAAGTGCCAGACTTATCCGCTTCAGCCGGTTCGTTCGGTTCATAGGTCAAATCACTACACTGTCCAACAGCAAAGGTGGTGAATCGATTGAACCAGTTCAACAGGACAAGTCCGGCACCTACCTGAGTCGTCGGACGCACATCTGATGTGCGCGGCACGATGGCCGTACAGTCTGCCCCAATCCTAACCAGGCCAAAATCGGCATGGCGAAAGTCCGCGCCGCGAGGGTTTCGCGCCACATCTGCGGCTAGCTAGTCTGCTCTCTCCTCGATCTCTTCACTCTCTGCGACAGCGCGCGTATGCAGCGCAATCCCATAGCGCTGCGAGCGCGCAAATTCAGCCGACGGTTCGGCCTGATCCCGATTGGGGCAGACTGTACGCACGTCCGACTCTCGCGATGCTGCAGGCCCCTATAGCCACGCCAGTAATGCCAGCTTTTTGCGCGCGCAATTGGCCCGTCACGGGCTCAGCTATTTGTTCACGTGCAAATTTTAACGCATTTCACCTTCAGTGCAAGCACACTATACTAAGCGGAAAATCTACTCAACTGTACATTATTGGACACAGCGCATCCGAGCCAAAGAAGACAGACAGCTCGAAATCCCAATTTCTCCAAGCCCTGCCTTTAAGCAAATCTTGATAAGGTTCATTCAAAAAATCGTGACGACGGATTCAAATGCGGTCCTTGCCCACCCCCCTCCCCTAGGAGCGTAAGACCCTCATACAAAAAGCATCACCTTAACGCTCAGCTTAGTCACCTCCAATGTCCAAGTATTATCATACCTAAGCAAAAAAAAAACCAGTCGAGTAGAAATTGAATCCAAGAAAACGCGGTTGCCGGAAGGTGCGTGCGTGTCGCGCGCGGTCGCGCCATCGTCACGACTTTTCGAATGCCTTATACCTGGTTTTGATAAGCGAGAATTCCTCGCGAGAAATTTGAGTACCGCTCAAACGACAGCTCATATTATTCAGATAGACCCAAGAAATTTAACTCTGAATTCTCGCCTTACCGTACCTTTCCAAAATAACCTATCAGCAAACTTTCTAAAGTATGGTACTAGGCGAAAGCCTACATTTGGTTGTCTCATCCAAATGAATGTTGCGAGCTATCCGCTTAGTTGAAGCCTCTTAAACAATCACAGAAAAAACCGAAGTGCTTTAAATCATCTTACGTTCTTAGCCTGTATCCTCTGAAACTGGACGAATCCGCTGATGTGACTGGGTCATCATGGGTCCCAGGATCACAAGTACACACTGGTGTTGAAAGGTCCCAATGCCGAGTACAGTCCGCACGACTGGCTGACCAAACCTATTTCTTAGCTAAAAAATCAACAAATTCAAAAATACTCAGCACCGGCTTCTTCATCCAAAAACTTTGGTCTAGGACAAGTTTTGAGCTTATAAGCATCGAAACCAAGCGCCTCCTGAAGCATCAATCGTTGCCGATGAAAACTTCACAAAAGAAGCTAACCTCCAGTTGCCAAGCTTGTTCACCAAGCACAATGGACATCGCATCCCGAAAAATCTCGAGAAGACCCATTTCTTCCAGGACCAGATCAAGGGCACTGTAAACGTCAAGTTGAGTAATCAGGATGCTCTGCTATTGAAGAATTATACCTCAGTTCGACTATATCATTGTGAGCATCGAGAACATGTTTGATGGCAGCAGATACACTTTTGAAGCGCAGTCCTTCCATCTTGCAAGTACTCTTCCATCTCATGTTCTCCGCCAACGAAGTTATCTGGAAAGACTTGCATCTCAAAAACATATTGAGATGAAATTTTGAAAAATCTGTCTGACATTTTTGTTTCTGCTATAAAAACATATATCGTTGCCTACAGTATTCACCTCTTGATCCGAAGAATTGAGAGTTGCAAATGCAAACTCACCTTTCCCGATAGTTGCCTCGCACTAAGATGCTCCAAGATATGAAGAACAACTGGATGTGCATATGCAACAAAACTTCGTTTCCGACGATCACTCTAAAATAAGATTTGAGTTAGCGACTATGTTTCAGAGATTGAAGCAGACCAGGTATCTCTTTAACTTGTAGAGCTGAGCAGCTTAGACGAAGGAAAAAGCATCACCTACCGAGTAACGAGGAAGTTCCTTATCCACACATAAGCGACACACGCACGGAGGATATAACAGCATACCACTCTGATCGCGCACAAAGCGACGCGTAAACACCATCTATGAAACACGAAAGTTGAAAAAGGTACATCAAAAGACAGACCTCACCTGGAATACAAGTCCCTTGTTGACTCCAAAAAGCATGCAACCGATTTCATTCATTTTTGCTTGGACATATTTTATCACATCCGGCTCGCTATACCTGAACGAGATAGGTGTTCAAGTCATGGTTTCCTGTCTAGCAGCCAAAAACGAAAAGAGTCCGACAAAAATTTGAGGAATGATCTACCTGTAATGCTTTGTGACCCTTCTTGCCATAAAAAGGATCTGCCGCATTTGAGCTGAAGACAAACGAATCATCAATGCTCGTGTCAGCAATTCTCGTTCAGCAGGGTCCATACTCTGATTGAGAAGAGATTATTCATGGTCTTAGATAGAATGAAATAGATTCAACAATGTCAATGGGAAGAATGCTGATAAAGTAGATCCCATAAGAAAAAAGTTAGTCAGGCTAAAACTAACCAGAGCGCCATCATTTCGAACATGCCATAAGATGTGCTTGACAATTGCTATATCCACCTCCGCAAGTTGGACTGGTTTCTCTCCGGACAATACGAGCACCTATAGACTATGGTACTCATCCCATTGTTGCAAGTTATAAGCAAACTCACTGGATTTACACCACAGCAATCTGAACGCTGACAACGGATGAAGAATTTATTTTTGTCAGGTTCTTCTGTGCTTTCTGCTGGAGCTGTAAAAGGCTCGGAGAAGATCTGAATGGACAATAAAACTGCAACTAAGTAACTGTGAAAGAAATGATCACCTTGGATTGTGGGAAGAACTGATGCAAATATCGATAGTACACTTTTCGTGCTTTGTCCATATGTTTCACTAAATCGTGAATGATAACAAATATCGACAAACACAAATATCGAGCCTCCTGCTTGATGATCCCACCTTTCATATGATCAAGAAATTCAGCTGGTTTGTACACATTCATTTCCAGGCAACAAAATGGACAAGTTGGCGGCCTTTCAGCAGACCTGTGAATGTAAAGAGCGCATAACATTCTTCCTTCCAAGGCTGCATGCAAGGCACAATGGTCCTGAGAAAAGAACAAACTGTACACTTTTCATAATGAGGTACAACTCTACCTTTATGGAGGCTGCATCTGTAGCGCTTATGCTTACATCTGCGCAGATATTGCATCGCACAAGTTCTCCAATATCTCTTTGCTCGTTGGATGTTCCCTATAATACTTTAAAAACTCTAGTGATAAAGATTATGGAAATGATAGGATATATCATGATCTTTGAAGTTTCTACTCGGAAGAAATGACTGAGAGACAAAGGTACGGCCGTTTAGACCAGGGTCAGTCACGCCTTCAAAATGTACAAATGAATAATCTTCCTTGGTGGAAGATAAACTAGGGCTTCGAAACACGAGAAAAGCAATCAGAAAACGCTTACCGCATGATCCGCACCAGGATGAGAAGCCACTGACGCCACCGAGCAAACGGTCACAGAAGTATCAGGAGTCACATTCACGGGCAGAGTAGCTTCCAGCATTCTAACTGTAATGAAACTGTAACGCTGATGTCCTAAGAAGACAAGATAGGGAACCCACCTCTGTTTGCTCCACAGACAGTCTTCGGAACGGACCGTTTTCTCTTCTGCGACCTCAAAGAAGAGCTCACAAGAGTATCAAGAAATCAAAACGTACTTCTTACTTACTCAGATGACCCAAGGGTTTTTATCGAAATGCGACACAAAAGATCCGCCTGTCCATGTTCACCCTAAGATTCTCCTATCAAAGATTACAGCGAAAATGACAAAACAAATACCAAGGTCAATTCAAATTACCTTCTTGTATTCTAGCAGAACTTTTCTGCGAGTTTGCGCAAGCTGAATCCAACGTGAGTCAGCGGCCAAATGGATGCGATTAACAGGATCAGCCGCCCAGCTGTTCAAGCGACGCCAGATCTGCAACAAATGAAAAAGAAGTGATTAACACATTCACGACAATACGACCCACCGGTGGGTCGTACGTGTCCTGCCATTTCGGACAATACGACCCACCGGTGGGTCGTACGCTTTCTGAAGTTTTTGATTTTGCTAGTTCACGGTGAAACTTTTTAGGCAAACCGAGTAAACTCTTGTATACACGTGTCGGAGTACTTCCCAAAAGATTAACAACTCAGACCACAGGACCTATCAGTGACCTGAAAATATCACGCAAATTCAATTTCTCAGAATATGCTCTGGTCCGAAATGGCAGTCATCGAAAAATCGGCTCTGTCGTGAATGTGTTAAGAAGTACAAGCGAATCTGGATAGCTAAACTTCTTGCGCAAATCAATCAAAAAGACATGTCAGAGCCACTGCTCAAGCAGCAAATCTAGTAGTTCACTTGTAGTCGAGATTCAAATACTAACTCTCACCGGCAATAATACCTTTTGTAAAGTGATCAGCGCATCGTACTCAGAATGGCGTTCGGTTCGCGATGAGCGGTCTAGCGCTCGTGAGAGTTTACTATTAAATTTACAGTCCACGATCAAATAATCTAAGCTGCTGTTCGAAAATAAATCAACTCTCATCACTCTCAATACAAAAAAATTCGTGAATTCATCTCACCTTTGTCAATGATCTATTGAGTTTATCTGCGTACATTATCGGGACGGATTTGTGTTTTCTGGTCTGAAGCCGATGCTCATCAACAAATGGATGCATTTCGAATAACTTGATCGTATCTCCAAGCGTCATATCTAAGAAAAAGATACTCATGTCAAAGATACTGAAAAAAATAGACAACTCACTTTTTCCTGTCATCGACTCATCAATGAGGTCTTCCCATAATTTCAACCAGTGTTCGTTTAGGTCAGTGCTGTCAGCAAAGAATTGCTCCTCACCTACAAAAACTGTGAAATTTACGAAAAGTACCTTAAAAAGATTTCTTAAGCTAGTTCATGCAAGACCATCCAGTTAATGAATCTGACCAACCTTCATCCTCTTCTAAACAAAAATAGGCGCACCACAATGTCCATTTTGTTGACCGAAAATCTAGACGGACAGCGAGAACAGACTCGATGGCGGTTTCCACAATCTGAAAACAACTCAGAGTATGTAAGAGCAAAGCAAGATAAAACAAGAAAATGAACTGCACTCACCAAAATTAGGTATGAAAGTATTGTGGCAGCGATTTCAGAGAACTGTCTATGCTCGAAAACATGATCGTGTACTATGTGATACACATAACCCATAGGTGACCCGACCTGTAAGAGTTTGGAAGGACTTCCACAACCAATATTGCAAATCTTACCGTAATCCCACAGTCGCACGAAACCACCGGAGAGGCACCCGCTCTTCCTAACAATCTTGATTCATCGTGGCGTATATGTGCAGCTATATGATGCACTACAGCCATCCGATCGGTAGGAGTAAGCAAAGAGTGTCCGCATTCGGCTCGCGCACATTGGATATGCTATAAGTACTTAATAGACACACTGCCAAAGAAGCTGGATAAAGACATAGGGAGACACTTTTTTCACAAGTAATGTTTGACACACCATAGGTTCAATAGGGACATATGACATGATGGATGTGCATCTGCTGATCGCACTGAACGAAACATGCTCATTCAGCTCTTTCTAATGTCAAAAAACGCTTCACGAACAGCTTATACATGAGAACAGATTAGTAGTGTCAAGCACAAAAACCTGACAGACTCCCATATCAAAGTCCCCCAATTTGAGAGCTTCATACTCCTCGATAGATCTTACTTGCATGTGTATCAAACAAAAAGCTCTTTTGGACCTTATGTTTGTTCAGCAGTGTACGCCAACCGACAAAGGCTAGATATTCTACACATTTGTAGACTTTTCTGTGACACACTGTAAGCACCACAGTTCGCACTTTCCGGATGAAAATTTGGAAGAAAAAAAATCATACACAACAACAATTGAAGATGGAATCTAACAATGCGAAATGATGTATAACGGTACTGAGTTTCAGAATGAAAACCTATTTTCTTTCACTTGATAGAAGGATGAGCAAAGAAATGTCGATGTCTTGGAATTATGAAATATGATACGCAAGCGCTACTTACCTGATCAGTATCGTAACTAGCTATACCAGGAAGGTCATCGCTATCGCGCGCAGTGCTGTCTGCGTCACTGCTGGAATGAAGAGGAATTTATTTTAACATGAATCAACCACTTTTTACCTTTCTGTTTCAGTGGAATTAGAGACTCTTCTGAGCGTATTTCTGAGAGACCACACCCCAGAATATTTCCCTCCACCTGTAACATGTAAAATGAATCTCTAACAAGAAAAGATGCTTTGTTTACCTCTGCCAAGCCTGGCTATTCGTCGCTTTTGTGCAGATTCTGGTGGGCGGAATGGATTACCATTGTTGCCGTGTAAAATACGGTATACCACAGGAACACAGATCCCAAACAGCTGCAATTTCAATATCAATGGTAGGAGATGCCCTAGGATAACTGATCCATTACCTTGGTAAGAAGGTCGCTATAAACTCGTTCCATAATGCGGGAATTGATAGTCCCACTCAGATCTGTGAGATGCTCCTTTTCAAAATACTCTTCAAGGCTGAAGTCCATACAGCTCAGCAAACGATGATCCTATGACGCTTGACATCAAAAGAAAGCCTAGTAAGAACACAAAGAGATCACCAACGGCGAACGATCCATCCGCACGACCAGGTAGCTTGTTTGCTTCCTCTCTTATATGTGAACGCACGTGCGATGATATTTCTTCTCGCATTTTGTGAGGATCAGAGAATGTCTGCGGTGACCAATCGCAAACAAGACAAGCGACGAAACTAAGAGTTACACAATACACCAATGAAAAGGTCCTAATAAAAATCTTAGAATGAAGCCCAACTAACCTTACACCCTCCATTTGCTCACGAGGTCGCGGTTCAACCTCAACGATAGGTTCTGGGATGGGTTCACTGCTCAGCTGCTCTTGCGTCTTGGTATGATTTGAATCAGTGCCTATGACCATTGCTTCGCTATTGTTATTATTGCATTCACTTTCAGGATTGAGCCTTGCTACATCAGAATCCTGCAAATTCCAAGATACGTAAAAAATAAGACTGAATATGTTCAAGAAACTACACCTGGGCGGTGCTTGATTCGGGAGGATCAAGCAAGTGCTCACCGGCACTACTGGCGACAGGAGGACTACAGTCAGTATTGCTGATATCCATACTCGTTGCAGCAGGTTCAGCCTGCAGAAGATAATTCACATAATCATAAACTCTAGGAACATCAACTCACACTCGATGTTTCTTGTCTAGCTGCACCTTCATTACTGGGCGAGTCGGTGGTGTTTAATGGAGAAAACTTTTCTTCAGCTTCCTCATCAGCATTAGACTCGACGTCGCCATCACTCTGCAAACCTGCGGTTTTCATTAAAAGTATACACATACCCTTTGGCAGACGGAACTGTGAATCTAGCATGGAATGTACTAAAAACAAAACAAGGTAGTATAGAAAAAAGTTGGTATAGAATACAATAACACTGTGCAAAATAGCTCTAGAAAAGCACACAAAGATCACCGTATACATAATTTACTAGATGGTTCAAAATCGCTAGAAATAATGCCAAAGACCCACCAACACTATAGTGTTTCTATCGTCATCAGCTGCGGTTGAATCGCTGCTTGCCTCCGAAGTCCTGAAAGAATTATAGAATGTGTGTGAAAAAGTTTCAAAGATACCCCCACCTAGCTTCAAGCACACTTTTCTTTGATGAAGACCGTTTTTCTCGAAATGTAGTGAGCAGATACCGCGGATCCGAAAAGTCACACACCATTTCGTCGCGTAGCGTTTCGTCATGCTCATGTTCAAGATGTTCGACCTAATTCAATAATTCATTACTCTAAAAAGGTGGTGCCGTGCAAAAGAGCGGATAGCAGAAAACTCACCAGATCCAGATCATTGAACATGCAACCAAAGACACAAGCGACTTCACTGGTCTTCTGAGGCAAGTCACAGATAGGGCATATGAGCACCGGGGAAGGCTCAAGCAAGGCTTCAAATGCAATTCGGTGAGCTGCAGCATGAGCTCGCCCAGTATCCGAATCACGTAGTGCAGCCCCAGAGATCTAGAAAAATTCGAAAATATTTAAAAATCTGTAACCGATCAAGATGCAGATAACTCTAGTTGCCCAAAGCGCAAAGTCTTGCGGAACCGGCAGCTAGTTCCTACAGCGATTTGAAGTTTTGTATATGGGCAAATCTCAAATACTCCTTATGTAAAAATTCAGAGAAGTCCCAAAACCACTATCCAAAGCTCTTATTTTACTCGCGCCATGAAAATCAAACGCTCCGCTACACAGTAACCCCAGTACGGATTAACCTCAGTATGGTACTGGGCGAGAATTTGAAGCTGTATTTCTCAACTATAAACGGCACCTACAAGCTCCCATTTGGCTTGATCGATTACTCACAATCGTATCCATGAGAAATCAACCCATCAGATCCACCTAGACCTAGGCATACCCCACCCTTGCAGATGAGTAGGTTTGGCAAAGGTATGGGATGCGCAGCTATAGACACTTGCAAACTAACTTCTTCGGTTTTAAGCATGAGTACCTCTAGTATATAAATGCACTTCAGTCCCTTTTATTTCCGGTTTGCACTGCTATGGATAAACACTCAAAAGCGCGCTTCAATGGCCCGAAGCTATAGGCGCCTAAAACCTAATTGACCGCGCCGTGCCTTGAACACCAGCGTAAGGCCCCGGACAGACTTCACGCGATTTGATCGTCGCGACTCAATCGCCGACATTTCCATTCATTTTCATTTCACATTCAAAAATTTCGGGCTGGAAAAGTATCACAACCGAAATGCAAGTTCATCGGCATGGAATGATGTTGTAACAGTTGTCTCGTCGCGATTCAGTCGCGACGATCAAATCGCGTGAAGTCTGTCCGGGGCCTAAGCGAGCAGTCGTCGCGGACGACCGTCGATGTCCACTATATTCCAAGAAATCTTTCTTTAACTTTCATGTTGTTCTCGTTAATACAAGGTATATCTTGACGAAAGCTCCCTTCAAAAGTTTAAAAAAATATGTGTGGAAAGGGTGCGCGCTCACTGTCGCTCGCAAAAAGCCTGTAACGCTTTGGGACCCAGCGTTTCCAGCCGCGCCGCGCGTTGGTGTTCAAAGCACGCGTGGGTAATTGGATTTTACGGAACTTTAGGTTCGGTTCGCGCAGCCGCCATCGTGCAATTGCAGATTTCTTTGTGAATGAACAGACTATGAATCCCATTCCGGCAGTAGACTTGAACAAGAGAAACGACGAAAAGAAGCCATAAAAATCAGAAAATCAGAAGTGCTCTTTAGCCAACCTGGAACATAGGACAATATTTGCACTCGTAAGAAGCCGCGGGATTGATTACAGCGACGGTGGTTCTGCTTGCAACGGCGTCGTACAAGTCGCCCACAGCGAACTCCACCATAACATGAAGGAGACTACCTGCAAAAACTGACGGACTAGCACATGCTAGGTAAACACGAACAGTCTGCAAGCTGTGAATCAGGACTTCCAAAACTGCGATTTTTGTCAGACAACCTCATCACTAGTTAGGAGGTACTAAGAAAACCACAGAAACTGATAGTGCCACTTTAATTAGCTAAAAAAGCAAAAAACTATGATTTCCAGACATTATTGAACAGTACTGCAATAGAGGTCGATCGAATCGTAAATCAGGATGCGTGCACCGCAATTGCACCCTCGCCTGACATGTTTCGTCATGACGAACCTGCAGGTGCCGCACTTATCCGTTCAACCGGTCCATCCGGTCCAGCTGCTCGCTATTGGTCAAATCACTGAATGGACCAATAGTGAGTAGGATGAATCAGATGGACCGGTTGAACCGGATAAATCTGGCATCTTGTGCTGAGGCCGGGCTTGACCTCCGGCCTCAGCACTTCCTTTGATCAACTGCGCGCCAAAAGGATCTATAGTGTCCGGGCACAAACTCGGTTTTGAGATATTGTGCTTAACCGGGCCTATTCGCTACGCTGAATCGGAAAATGCACATTGGAGAGCGCGAAAACGGCGAAAAACGGCTCTAACACAGGAAGGAAATCAGCAGGTGGGCAGGGTCCTCCCCACTGCGAATTCACGCTCCCAACTTCTGGAGCGATCTTCTCGCTTCCGGTTTCAAGTCAGTCATTCGCACTTGGCCGGTAGCGATGATAGAGCGGCTAGCGAAATCGAGAAGAGCGCTCCGGAAGTTGGAAGCGTGAGTTCACAGTGGGGAGGACCCCACCCACTTGCTGTTTCCCTCCTGCGCTAGAGCCCTTATTTGCCGTCCCGCGCTTTCCAGTGTGAATTTTCCGATTTAGCATGACGAATAGGCCCGTATAAGCACAAAATCTCAAAATCAAGTTTTTGCCCGGACACTGCCTTTAAAGGCAGTGGCTCGGCAAATTTCAACCTAGTCAAATTTGCGCTTACCTGAGGTTATTTAATACGCTGATCCCGAAAATCCACTTTTGAAAGCTTGAAAACGCCGAAAATAAGCGTTTTTAATGACATTCCCTTTGGAATTGGACGAGTGGGGCAAGGCCGATGACGCTGAATCGTTGCAGGACCCAATGGTTATAACGCTGCGGCAGGCAGGCTCCAATGGTGAGAAGGAAATTGCCAACTCGTCCAGATGTGTGTAAGATTGGCCTGCGCGTGTAAGTTTGAGAGCGATTTTCTCGGCAGGGAAAGCATGCTGTGCAACCGGGATTGCACTGTTTTCATACTTGGGCGATAAGGAACCTACCGCGCTAAAATCCTAGTTGTTGCATTTTGCCGATCCACTGCCTATAAGCCGGCGACGAACGTTCCATGGACTGCGATCAATGTCAACTTCGGCATCATTTCTTGAGCTCCACGAATTCATATATTCATTTGGCTGCTCCTGTCATTCGATTTATGTTGTGCATCTTCTGCTCATCTGTATTATGTTGCGTCATCCTCATATATGTCATCACTGTATTTGTCAGTGTGCTAAAAGAATCTCATGTTACCGCTCATCGAAGAATCTCGCATTGAGATGCTCATTTTATTCACTTACTATTGTTCGTTACTTGTGTTTTGTTTTGTTAGCAATAATAATGGGCTTGATTACCCGAGTTTGAACGACCGGCGTAGCATTCACCAGCCGAAGCAGCACGAAGTCTCGAAGCCCCATCTCCAACGAAGCAAGGACGACTAGCTTGAAAGGGGGGGGGGAGTCAAACTGACCTTTCTCTTTTGTCTTGTCTTTTCTTTGTATTTTTGTTCTTGGCCTTTTGATTCTGGGACCCCCCCCCCCCTTCCCCGTTCTCCCTTGACCTTTCCCTGTGGCCCAGCTTAAAAAATTTAGTGCATCGGCCTAATCGAGTTTCGGTGCCGATCAACATTGATTAGGGATTAGCCCGCCAAAAAAGGACAAAGCCGAGGATCAACGAAGACTGGAAGCGGACGAAATCGATTGAGGAGACGAAGACACAGGATGCCGTCGCTCAAACCATACAAAACTAGAATGACGAAGTTGGGGAAAGCAGTAGAGGAGCTGATAGAAGGTTCCCGACACACGATCGCCTTCGAAATCCCCATTACGGAAAAGGAAGAGGAGACAATGGATCTTTTACTCACCAGGATAAAATCAATACAACACGCCACGCCAACATCTCCACAACCAAAGCGGATTTAGCTGTCTCCAGTTATCAAGAAGCCTCCAATACGCTGGATGATCGCTCTCAGCAGGAAGAGAGAACATCCCAAGAGACGTGTATAGCACGCTTGGGATTTTGCAGAAACAGCTGTCTCTACTCAATAAACTGGACGAAAAGGAAACAGAACCCTCTTCCACTCTGGACAACCTGATCCAAGCGGCAAGAAGAAGAGAAAGACAACACGAAGTCGCCGCTATATCTCAGTCATCTCGAGTTGTCAAGATGGACAACGCCACCGCGGTATACAAACTAGCTGCAGGCAGCTACCTAGACTGCAATTTCCCATCTTCAATGGAAGACGCCAGGAATGAGGGTCTTTTTGGGCCATATTTCAAGCTACCGTGGATACCATCCAATCCCCACGATGATCAAGTTCAATTATCTTCTCTAGTCATTCATAGGAGAGACTAGGCAGACGGCAGCGCAGTTTCACGTGGTAGAAGCAAGCTACCAACTCGTAATAGACACACTCAAAAAGAAATATGGAGAGGATACTTCGCTTATCGAAGATCTATTAATGCAGCTCGAAACTACCAAGGCGGAGGGAACGTCTACTAAGCTGCAAGTTAATCTACTAGAATGAATAACAGCCATCTTAACGCAGCTAGCTGCGAAAGGCCAGGATGTTAACCAAAGACTAGTACTTAACCTAGTCTTACGAAAATTCAGTATTGAAGTGCAAGTAAAAGCACTCGAAAGACGAGAGAGACTCACGGTCTTTCAACAATGGACATGGACAACAGCTCTACAAAAAAACTTACAAGACATCATCAACACTAAAAAGAGTATAGAAAGGATCAAGAGCTGATCGCGAAGCCTCATACGTCACCCTCTCTCCTTAGGGAGAAGGTCAGGAGAAGCGCCCGGTACCAGCATGCAATTGTAAACGAAGCAACCATCGATCTTTGGAATGCTGGACAGTTTCGATATCGGAGCGGGTAGCGTTGTTGGCGAGGAATCAGTTGTGCTTAAATTGTGGGAAACCAAATCACACAGCACAGAACTGTAGGAGTTAAGGATGCTTCAGATGTGGACTCAAGCACTACTCGTCGACATGTAGAAGACTATTACCGCCGCCGAACCACAAACAATCTAGAGGAATTACAACAAAGCCCCAACAAATAAACCAGCCAGCTCGAATACTTTCTGCATTCAACGTTGGACGAATGCAGCAACGAGGAACAGTACAAGCCACACTTAGGCAATCCAGACAAAACATGGTCACTATAGAGGAAGATGGTGAACCAAAAAGGATGAGCAACTCCCAGGACGAGAGCAGAGTTAACCATGTAAGGGACAGCAACACCCAGAAAACAGGTGCACTCCTCTTAACAGGAATTGCCACCATACAAGATTTACAGAGTCCAGACAAGTCCAAATACTCATGGACACAGGATCAGAGCTATCATTCATAGGTAGAAAACTAGTAGACGACGATAAGGTATTTAGAATGAGCTTCCACTCTACGTCTCAAGCATTTCGAACGAAGCTGGCAAAAGAGGAGAAGTACCGCATAGTATATATAGATCTAGTGGACAGAACAGACATTACACATCCATGCAGACTATACGATTGTCCAATTCTGACATCCAAGACGGCGGAACCACAGCTCACAGAGGAGGACTTAAGGTACATTGAGGAACATGGCCTACAGCTATCAACGAAGACCAACGAAGGCATTCGATCACGCGTTCTCTTAGGATGCGACTACCTTTGGGAACTGATGAATAATGATAAGCACAACTCACCTTCGGTCGTGCACCTCATCGGGATGAAGTTTGGATTTATGCTTTCAAAAAGAAGTCACAAGTCGAAAGCAGTATCCAATATGCTATAAACCAGTAGCAAAAATAAGGAGTTAGATATATGGGACAACTACTGACAGATGGAGTCTTCAAAAATCGAAGAATACACAGGAACTGAGAAAGAAGATAAAAAAATTCAAGAGGACAGAATTTTGAAGAAATTCCAGGAAACAGAGAAAACCGGATGGATATTATGAACGGCTACCATGGAAAGAACCTCGCGAGTGCCTACGGGAACGGCCATAGGTTGTCGGTGTTGTCGGTGTTGTCGATGTTGTCGGTGTTGTCGGTGTTGTCGGTGTTGTCGGTGTTGTCGGTGTTGTCGATGTTGTCGGTGTTTCGGTGTTGTCGATGTTGTCGGTGTTGTCGATGTTGTCGGTGTTGTCAATGTTGTCGGTGTTGTCGACGTTGTCGGTGTTGTCGATGTTGTCGATGTTGTCGGGGTTGTCGGTATTGTCGGGGTTGCCGAGGTTGCCGGTCGTTGTAGACCTCATGATAGCCTCCACGTTTCGCGCGCTCTCTAAACTGTCTCTGACCCCGACAACCCCGACAACACCGACAACATCGACAACACCGACAACATCGACAACACCGACAACACCGACAACATCGACAACACCGACAACACCGACAACATCGACAACACCGACAACACCGACAACATCGACAACACTGACAACCTATGGCCGTTCCCTACCAGACAACAAAATCCATCGCATTAGCCAGACTGAGTCGCTGCTCAGTACGAAGACAAAAGGTTTCCTACAGGATTATAATATCTTCAAAGATCAACTCCAGAAAGGGATTATCGAAGAAGAGGATGCCGGCAAACCTCGACCTAAAGGCAAAGTCATCCACTATCTGGCACACTAGGTAATGGTTAACCCAGAAAGAACAACTTCGAAGAGTGTCGTTTTCGATGCATCAGCTCATTATGCTGGGAACTTGTCACTCAATGATGTCCT